ATATATATATATATATATATATATATATATATATATATATATATATATATATATATATATATATATATATATATATATATATATATATATATATATATATATATATATATATATATATATACACAGTGTCCTCAAAAAAAAATGGGACAGCATGATTTTTTTTTTTAACTAAAAAAAAATCAATTTTTTCTCAATTATTTTTTAACTTTATTTCGAATATGTTAAATAATAAGAATTATTACATTAAATTTGTCAATAAAGAACAAAAAAAAATCAATAAAACTTTAAGACTTATAACAAAACTGCGGAATTAGTAAAAATTAACTAAAATAGGAAAATTACAATTTTTAAAATAAAATTGTAAAATCAATGTTTTCTAAATTTTTACGTCTATTTTGATTAATACTCAATACAATTTCATTTTCTATTGTTACAATTAAAATTAAATAAGTCTTTAAATATTATAACAATTTTTAATACTTGGTTGCATAACCTTTTGCATCAATAACCGCTTGGCATCTGCGGGTCACCATTCGACTAGTTTTGTTAACAAACTAACTTCCAGTGAGTTCCAACCATTTAAAAGTGTCATAAATAATTCATCTTCATCGCTAGGTGTTATGTCTTTGAGTTTAGAATCTAATATAGACCACAGATTCTCAATTGGATTAAGATCAGGTGATTGTGCGGGCCACTCAAATGTAGGTATTCCAGCCTTTTGTATATATCTTTTATTTTTTTTGGCTGTATGCTTTGGGTTATTGTCTTGCTGAAATATATAATTTCTATCTGGAAATATATGTGTTATACTTGCTTTTAATTGGTGAACTAAAATATAATGGTACTTATGTTGGTCCATGATTCCTTCAACTCTGTACAGGTTTCCCACTCCATGAGCAGCAAACGCACCCCAAACCATAATTTTTTTGTCATGTTTTACTGTGGCACGTGTGAATTTTGGATTATATAGTTGACCTTTTCTTTTCCAGATTCTTTCTCGATTACCATATTGTAACACAAAAGGTGACTCATCTGTCCATATGACACCTTTCCATTGGTCTAATGTCTAGTTTAAAATAATCTCTGCACCATTTCAGTCTCTTAACACAATTTTTTTAGTTTATAAAAGGCTTTTTTTGTTTTCCAACCTGAGGTAAACTCTTGACCTATCTTTATTCTTGCAACAATTTTATTGTTACATAAGTGTTTAAGGTTTAAATTTTACTTTATCTGATTCACTGATATCCTACGATTCTTCATCACCTCCCTCACAATCAATAGATCTTCTTTTTCTGTTGTTTTTGGCTTTTTTCCAGCCTCTGACTTTCGGCTAATTGAATTTTGAGAAACAAATCTGGACACAACTCTTTGAACAGTAGATTTACCACATCCAACTTCTTTGGAAATATTACGCAAAGACCAATCAGCATTGTGCATTTGAATTATTCTACCTTTATCGAAGTCTGAAACATGTTTTTTTCTAAATTGGTAAATATGAGTTTTAGCTAAAAACAAATGATATAGATAAAACTAAATGCTAAAATATTGAAAGAATGAATGTCTTATACCTAATTAATTGTTAAATTTTTGAAGAAGTAGAATCAAAAGCAAAATTGCTGAAAAATTTAATTTTAAATGAAATAATATTAATTTTTTTGAATCATGAAGATATTAAAAGTTAAAAACAATTTTAGTTTTCAAAAAAACTATATAAAATCATAAGTAACACTTTATAAAGAACAAAACTATAACGGGAAACTTAAGGCATAATTTTAAAGAAATTTATTTTTGATCTGTATTTAATTCAAGGGCCCTCCTCCTTTTTTTCTGATTCTTTTTAATTTTAAATACTAAATTAGTGTAAATATATTAAGTATCTAACATTAAAAAACAAAAATTTTAAAAATTTTAAAAATTTTAAAAATTTCGTTGTACAATTAAATTTTACTCAATTTTATAAAATCTATAACATTTTTTTATTTATTTTAGTTTTTTAACACTTCTGCAGTATAGTTTGTTCTTCTGCAGTATAGCTTGCAGTATAGAATTTCAACAGTTTAAATAATTTTTTTTGTATTTTTATTAAGGAAAATAGTGCATTAGTAGTTCTAATTTTATAATTGAGAAACAAATTTTTAAATAAGTGATAAAACATTGAGCTGTATGACTTTTGAAAATCATGCTGTCCCATTTTTTTTTGAGGATACAGTATATATATATATATATATATATATATATATATATATATATATATATATATATATATATATATATATATATATATATATATATATATATATATATATATATATATATATATATATATATATATATATACATATATATATATATATATATATATATATATATATATATATATATATATATATATATATATATATATATATATATATATATATATATATATATATATATATATATATATATATATATATATATATATATATATATATATATATATATATATATATACATTAGATACAAATATTGATAGTAACTGTTTAAAAAGTTTTAAATTGATTGTTTTAGCTAGGTGCTGAAAAAAAATTCTTACTTTTATGGGATGACTATATATTTTTTCCAAATTTGTTCTTCTTTTGTTTGAAGTTTTTAATAAAACCCTAATTTGTAATGAAACCCTTGCAGCCGTGGCGCAGTGGTAGCGCACTTGCTTCAGACACGTAAGATCCGTGGCTCAAACCCCACCTCTGGGCAAGTTTTGCGACATCGGTTGGGAAGGAGGCGTGAACTTCCTATTAAATGCTCTTCCGCGGTGCTCTGTGATAAGACCGTAAGAGCTTCTTGGGGCACCTTAATCAACTTATTAAAAGAAAAAAAACAAACCCTAACTCACAAATAAAAGCTAGAGCCCGTTTTCAAAAACATGCTCAAGACTTCAAGCATTTTACGACAAACTTTAAAAAAAAACTTAAACAATTATAATAAAAGAGCAATAGAAAAATTTAAATTACCATTTAAGATAAAAAAAAAACATTAAATGTTCTCTTTTTCATACCTTACAATAAAATATTAGTGATATAACATATCACTAATAAATTTGAATAGCGAAAACTCTTTGAAAATAAAATTAAAAGTATAACTAATAAATTAAACAACTACAAGGAACTTTTTTAAACTACTTTCATTCAAAATTAAAGTCTAAACCAAAACGAAAAATTAACTATAAAACCTAACATAACAAAACAAAACAAAACAGAGAATAAAAATTTTTATAAAAAAAGTTTTTATCAATAATAAAGTGAACTGACTTGCTTATTTTGTTTATTACATTATCATTATGTCTACACGTCTAGTATAAAGATGCTCGATGACAAGACTGATTTCAGTCATCTGCAAGCTTCCTTCGACTACGTATAAGTAATTCCGATCTATATTTAAAAGAGTATTTGAAACAGTTTGATAGATTAATACTTGTTGAAACATTTTATTTATAATATTATAGACATATTAGTAGGAGGACATATTAATATTATACTATTGCTATTATTATGCTACATTAAGCAATTATTATGCTACATATAGCTACACATATAGCTACATATAGCTACATATATGCATACATATAGCTACATATATGCTACATATAGCTATTATTATGCTATTATTATGCTACATTACGCGTTTATATTAAACTATTGTCGTATTATTTTATTATATTTATGACATTTTATATTGAAGTTATAAATAACTGTTTCTTTAATATTTACTTTTTCTATTTTAGACTTTATGACTACGATATTTTTTTATATATATATCTATACCATCAATCTGTTGTATAATCTAATATATATATTTTACAAATAAATTGTCATTGTAAAGCATATAACTACTTTTTTAACATAAAACATTGTAAAACGAAAACTGTTGAAATATTAAGTAGTCGGTTGCATTTAATGTTTTTATATAAGCAGCTGACGCGCAGTGAGGGCGATAACTGTTTAGACCTTTGTTAAGGCTTTGGCATCGTACTCAGGAGGTTTAAGGTTCCATTTCCACTCCGGCCACAAAAGCAATATAGGTTAAGAATGTGACAAAACTTCCTTAAATTAATGTTTTTCAATGGGCTCAGTGACAAGACTATCAAGATTTACTAAAGCACCTTAACAACCCTCTCCCACCTCTACCTTAACACACACAAACACACCAAAAAAAAAATTTCTTTTGTTGCAAGAAACACTAGTCTCCTTCCAAGGCTTCTTTAGTGTAACGCCTCCCAATTTTGAAATATTTCGCCATTAATTTGAAACATTTCTAAGACCCTTTCTTAAACATTAATAATTTAAAACACTTGTAAAACCCAGAAAAAGTCTTACATTTTTTTATATTTCTATAATAACTCTTTGTATTGAAAATGTTTACACCCCCCCTCCCCGTGTACAACCCTGATCAAGTAAAAAACTAATATTTCAACTGGTATGACAATGTTTATAATTTTTTATTATTCTTTTTGTCCTCAATCTTAACAATATTTTATTATAGCTAAATGATAACACTTAATGATTTGATAACAAAGTACAGATTAGCATTTAATGAGGAACCCTTTTAACTAATGCCAGTTAATTGTTAGTATTGGCAATATATATTATATATATGTATATATATATATATATGTATATATATATATATATGTGTATATACATATATATATATATATATATATATATATATATATATATATATATATATATATATATATATATATATATATATATATATATATATATATATATATATATATATAATATATATATATATATATATATATATATATATATATATATATATATATTTATATATATATATATATATATTTAAATATATATGTATGTATATATATATATATATATATATATATATATATATATATATATATATATATATATATATATATATATATATATATATATATATATATATATATATATATATTCTCTCGTTCTATAAAAATGTAGATATATACACACACTTTCTATTTAAATAAAATTATCTATAAAAAAAGGTTTAGTATAAAATGAAAGCATAAAAGTTTGTAAAAATTTAAAAGTAAATGGTTTGATAAAGACGTTGCCGAGTTAATTCCAACTGATAAAGCAACAGTTTTTTCTTCGCTTGTAAAAGTTTGACTAATTAACTTTTTTGGGGAGTCAGAGCAAAATCTTTTATTGCTGCAAAAATCATGACACGAAGGGCATACTAAAGATCCATTTATAATCCATCCGTTCATATTATCAATAACTTCTATTTTTTTGCTTGGTTGGTCGCATAAAAATCTTTTGTTTCCAACAGTTAAAAATAACCCATGCATTGTACAGTCGAATTCATAGCAACCTGATCCCCAATCGAGCATGGTCCTAGTTAACAGATCTTTTTTTGCTATCCAGTGTCTTCCATGCTCAACACATTTTGCCTCGCTACTATAAGATTCTAGAGCATAATTTTTGTTTTTAGCTGGCGAGTTTTCTTTTACTGTACATGTAGTACCTCTTTTTCGACCATCTTCTTCGGTCAGAGTAAACTTTTGGTAGAATGGACAAAAATCTGCTAATTCAACCGCCCCTCCATAGGTATGAATATCTTTTACAGGTATTTGACCAAGTCTATCAAAGTATTGAAATTCTTTCGGTAATTCAGAAGTGTATTTAACTAAATTACACAAGGCTAAAGAAAGCTTTGTATGTGTGCATCGCATGTGTAGAGGTGATTGTTTTAATGTTGCACAATAAGGTGATGTTGACTCTTTGTTTTCAATGCGGCTTGCAATCCATGCTCGGCAATTATTTTTTACAAAAAAACATCCTAAATTTTTTCCCCAATCCAAATCTTCTGCCATTGCGTAATTAGCTTTATACCAACCAGTGTCTTCCATTAATGCAAGTGTTATTCTTGAAAATACTGGATGTTGGGTATAAGTACCAGTCATAGCTTCGTTTTCAAAAACTCTTTTCTCCCAATGAGTTAGCGATGTGCCTTCGCCACCTTGATTTTCAAGTTCAGCTCCCTCCAAGTCTTCGCAATTAAAATGACGTCTAACTTCTTTTTGCACTGTGGGAGTGACAATCATTTGAATTTCATGCTTTATGTAACCACCAGAAATACTCCAATCTTTTCTGATAACTTTTTTTAAAACTTTGTCACTCCATTGGTAAAGACTTTTGGCATTATTGTATTCAGGCATGCCATTTTCTAGTCTAGGAGTTAAAGGTAAACCGTTTTTATCTCGGTAAAATGCATACAATCCAACACTAAACCCCAACGCGTGGTAAATTTCATGCTTTACTGTGGATAATAGACTTTCAAACGATTGAGGATCAGTTAACAGTTTTTCAGGACAAATATTCGCAAACCCGGCTACCGGTCGATTTAAGGCGTGCTCTTGCTGACAATATGATGCATAAGCAACAATATTGGCTTCGTTGCAATGATCTGTTTGCATTGAGGATACGAAAAGTACAAAATTTGCAAGTTTATCTGGATCTAAATGAACGTTAACATTTTTTTTACAATTATTGCCGTGTTCATCACAAGTTCTGCAATGGTCTAAAAATCGCTCGGGAACTATAACTGGACCGCAAAGTGTTTTTTCACAGGCTAATTTGCAGTATTGCACATGTCCAGATTCAATCCCTTCGTTATCTTTTAGATAAAAGGAACTAGCTTTGCACATTCTTTGAAGTTGAATGGGTTCGGTATGTTTACTGACATAGTAAGTTTCATGAAAGTATTTAATAGCTGCCGGAATCAAACGATTCTTAACAAGTATTTGTTTTGCAGGTTTAAGGTTGTCAACACTGTTGTCAAAGATAACCTTAAACTGAATATTTTGCATATTTGATTGTCCCACAAGACTACTGTGATGTCCAATGTGCACATTATGAACTACATCATTAATTTTAGGTATCCAATGAACTGATACTACAGCTTTTTGATAATACAGCAAAAATACACATAAAATTAAACTATTTCTAATTATGACAGCCATGAACTTTTTACGTACAGCACTTCAGGAAAAATATCCATTAAAAAACATCAATATTGATTAGATTAAAAAATGTCTATTTTTTGCAAATTTATGCGCTTTTTTATATAATGACAATAATTGTCAACTTTTAATACTATTTTATTTAAATATAAATATTTGTGCTTTCACTATTCTTATCCGTAAAATGTTCAAGCAGCAAACAACGGCTTCGCCTCATTTTGAGGATGTTTTCAAACAGCGCATGTAGAATTGTTTTAGAGACTGGTGCTACTTTGAAAACTTATTTTTTGGATTAATAAACGCTATCTTCTTTTTCTTTCAATTTGACCATTAAATGCTTTCAAATTTAAATACTCTGTTTTTTTTACTTATCTTTCTTTTTTGTTATTATGATAATAATAATTTTTGATAATGAATTATCTAAATATATAAATAATAATGAATTGTTCCGCTCTCTAAAAATTAAAAAATAAAGTAAAAAGTATAATGATGCAATGTTTGATGATATATATATATATATATATATATATATATATATATATATATATATATATATATATATATATATATATATATATATACATATATATATATATATATATATATATATATATATATATATATATATATATATATATATATATATATATATATATACATATATATATATATATATATATATATATATATATATATATATATATATATATATATATATATATATATATATATATATATATATATATATATATATATATATATATATATATATATATATATATATATATATATGTAAAATAATATTTAGAATTTCTCGTTTAAACAAAGCTTACAAATTTTTGACGCAGGATGTATGTTTTACAGCGTTTAATAATATCCCATTTGATTGAAGATGTAAAAATGTTTTCTTTTAACTCCCATACTTCCTTAGACAACATAGTGTCGTTTTTGTACATTTTTATGTTAAAGAATTTTAGATGGTTTACATAACGTAGCTTAAAAGAGGTTTGGCTTATCCCAATGTATACTTTATCTTTGTATTGAGGTTTATTTGAGCTTTCAGTGGCTTGGTAAACAATGTTTTTACACAAGCAATCGTTGTTCAGTGGACAAAGAGAATTTTTAATGCAATTGCAGGTTTTTTCTGATAATTTTACATCACCATGTAAAATATTTTTGTTGTGTGAGCTGATAATAGATTTAATGTTTGGAATACAGGAGTAGCTTATCTTAATTGTGTTTCTGTTAAATATTTTTTGTAGTTTGTGGTTTTTAGGAAAATACTTGTCAATTAGGGATAAAAAGCGTTGACCATTTTCGGTTGTAACATTTTTACTAAATGGAGGATTGTACCAGATTATGTTTCGTGTATGGTTATTTTTTAAAACACTTTTATGCTTGGTTTGTATGCCAACTCGGTGGTTTTAATGTGTTTAACTTGGTTTATATGCCAATCCCGGTGGTTTTAATGTGTCTTCATAAAGATGTGTCAATTTATTAAAAATAACTTCACTTGATGAGTTGGCGGACAATCTTAGCTCTATAATTTTTGGAAGATTATTTATTATGTAAGGTGGGTGGTTTGAATCAGCATGTACATAACTTAACTTATTATCAGGCTTGCAGTATGGTTGGAATTAATTTTGAGTAAGATTAAAAGTTAAATCAAGGTAGTTAACAATTTTAACATTGAATTGATAGAGATATTGAGATGTTACGTTTGAAAACTTGAACGATATGTTTTTTTATTTGTTCCATTTTTGTTTTTAAAAACAGCTGACAAATTATATATGTGTATATATATATATATATATATATATATATATATATATATATAATATATATATATATATATATATATATATATATATATATATATATATATATATATATATATATATATATACATATATATAATTTGTTAGCTGTTTTTAAGAACAAAAATGGAGTTCAAGTTTTCAAACGTAATCTCAACATCTCTATCAATCCAATCTTAATATATATATATATATATATATATATATATATATACAAGTTATACAAACTATATATGTGTGTGTGTATATATATATATATATATATATATATATATATATATATATATATATTATAGATTATGATAATTACTACTCACTAATACAAAAATGTGTTATCACATCAAGTATAACAAAATTTTTGGTACTAAAAATTAACCTTGCTGAATTTTTTTGTTACTCTCCTGATGATTTAACAGGAATTTATCAGAAAATTATTAGCAAAACTAAATTTTGTCTGCAACACATATAGGTAAATCCGTCTCTGCGCAGTACCAGGATTCTAGTGCTGTGCATGGGCGGATTTACCTATAGATGTTTTAAATATCAGCAATTATTTGAACTTACACTAAACTAAAACTGAAAGTAAAACCAAAATTATAATTGAAAACAAAATCCAAAAAAACTTCAATAATATATATTAGTATAAAAAATCAATATAAGTCAATAATAATTATATTTATGCTTAATAATATATTTATGTGTATTATGTGTACTACAAACAGTATTTACCAACTTTTTTATTTCTACATTTTATTATATGTGAACCTAATATAAAATGAAGTATTTTGTGAAACTAGATACATTGTAAAACGAAAATACAAAAAATATTACAAGTAAAAGCGGTTTATTGATGACAAGACCATTTGGCCCTCTGCAAGTTTCCCGCGTTCTTTTAATATTAATGATACCCTTCAATCATATTTTTTGTATTCTTTAAAATTGTGATATATTTTTAGTATTATATATTTTAAAAACATTATAACTTTGTACCAATCATGTAGAATCACAACATTATAAAGATAAAAAAAAAAAAAAATGTTTTAGGCTGCAGTCTATTTCCACAATCACTTCGCTTAATAACTTGGAGATTAATTTTGCACTAAGAAATTCCAGAATAAATCTATATAAAAGCCATAGCGCTAAACTAAAGAATTTAAGATACAAAAGCAAACAACATTTTGATGTTGTATATACTATGTAAGAGATCGTCCATAAATTACGCAACGCAAAACTTAATTTCCTATTTTGATTATTTATTTAAATTAAGACTCTGCGAATGAAAACTTTTAATCTTTTTTTGTTTTGTTTATTGTGAAATTTTGCGTTACGTTATTTATGGACGATATCTAATGGTTTTCATTCAAAAAAAATTACTGGTACTGCGGGTAACAATATTATATAAAAAGTTTATTATCAAAACACAATCTAAGCAACTTTGATTTTATACGTCATTTTAAATACTATTTAACAAAAATATGATTAGAACTGAAAGTGACAGAGCCTTCCTTAGGGTGGCGCGAGTGGGGCAGTCGCTCCAGGCCTCGCGGTTAGAAAAGCTTAGCGAGGTCATCCTAAACACGAGCAATCAAAACATTAACTTATTGTTAACAAGAGTAAGGCCTCGCGCAGCAACGCCTTACTCTTGTTAAAAAATAAAAGGCGTTACTGTCGTTAAAAAATAAGAAAAAGTTTTGGTTAAATGCAAATAATATAACAATAATATACGTACAAAAAATATCTAATTACCCGTGCAATTATTTATTAATTAAAAAAATATCAATATGATTCTCTTTCGTATGTGATAATAGCGAACAAAAAAATGCAAATCATTGTTCGAAGCTATTAAAGCTCTTCTGCTTAACGGCTATAAAAGACTTTTGTAAAGAGTAAAAAAGTTAAAAAATAAATTGATAGATAATACGAAAATTTCTTTTTGCTTTTCAAAACTAAAAAAGAAGAAAAAAAAAAATATCGAACAAGAAGAAACGAGAACGATTTAAATGAAAGAATTTAAAATAAAATTCAAAAGTAACGTAAGTAAAATAAAATTAATAAAAAAAGTTAAATAAAAAAAAAGGTAAAAAATGAATAAGCTGTGCACCGGATCATAGTCAGAAGGAGCAGTTGTCATTGGTCATGCGATCTGTAAAAATTAAAATGAATGTAACTTTCCCTTAAGAGTAAAAATGAAGATGCATCGAAGAACATTTCCTTGGATTCTTAGACGTTAAATTAACAACGGGAAAAAATCTAACTGATGTTCTTTTATAAGAGTTAGATGAAATTGGATTGCAAATCAGGGACTGAAGGGGACAATGGTATGACAACAGTTCCAATATAAAAAGTATTCACTCTTGAGTACAGGCACAGATCTTAGAAATAAATCCAAAAGCATTTTACATGCCCTGCGCTAGCCATAGCCTAAATTTCTTAATTTGGGATGCAACAAAATGATTATCTAAATCTATGACGTTTTTTGGTGTTGTTCAAAGAATTTATTCATTTTTTTCTTTTTCAAAAATGCAATGGCAAATTTTCATTTAACACGTACTAAATCTGGCTGTAAAAAAGGTCCTGTATGACTCGTTCGGAAAGTAAATTGGAAAGCGTAAAAGCGCTTCGGTATCAAATTAAGAAAGTTCATACTGTCTTAATTGAACTAGTTGAGTTCTCTGAGGATCCAAAAAAAAAAGCCAATAGTTAAACACCATCAGTTATGAATGAAATAAGTTAGGAAAAAAAAGCCTACAGACTCAAAAAATGTACGTTGGAGTTGCGTCGCAGTTACTTCAAAGGCTAGTTTAGTTTTTTTCAGAAATTTAGATTAAGGTTTTGTGGCGGCAACATTGTTAGCATGAGAACTTAGTGAAACTCTTGGTATAGAGTCAAATTTCAAAGAAGCCAGGCAGAGAAAGAAAAGAAGATTGTTTGAGTGCGAGGGAGATCCTATGGAAGGATCCGCCAAGCAAATGTTCAAAGTAGAGTATTTTTTTTGTTATTGCAGAACGTTTGAACAAAAAACTAATTACGATAGTATGTTTGGATTTTTGTATCATGTAAAAAAACTAAAAGTAGTAAAAGAAGATAAGTTGTTTCAAAGACCTAGAATCGTTCCTATGTTTTGAAGAAGAAAATAATGTTTGTGGAAATGACCTTTTTTCTAAACTTAAGGTTCTTTGAGAACTTCTACCGGCTGAGGTGGAAACAACTGCAAGGATTTTGAGATTTATTCACCAGATTCAAAACCCATTTCCGAATGTATTTATAATGTATAGAATTGTACTGACTATACCTATAACTGTGGCAAGCGCAGAAGGAGTTTTTTACGCTTGAAAGACATAATTAAGTTCGTCCATGGGTCAAGAAAGGCCTTCAATTGTGACATCTAAGT